GGGCGCTTGCGGGACCGCTGGCCCCGCGGCCCCGTGCGTATGCAGGGCAGGTAGGTGTTTTTGCTGACCTCATCAGGTATTTTTGGTGACTTCTAGTCTCGGGAGGTACTTTTCCTACCAAGCTTTCCAAGCGGGGCCACAGCACAGTGAGCTGCGGGCAGCCTGCAGAAGGAAAACCGCAAAGTCTGGCAGCCCGTGCCAGATGGATTGTTTGGTGGGGACAAGGGCAGGAGGAACCGAAAACCCACCCAGGAGGATACAGGAGACTCAAAAGGTGGGACTGATACCCAGAAAGAAATAGGTGACATATATCGCCCAGGACAGGGCGGCGGCAGCAGCTCAGAAACCACGCAACACCTTTCTTTTAAAATCGTCATTTAATCCAATAATTCCGCAGCATTGCCATCATACACGCCGGCACCTCACCTCGGCGCGCGGCACACGGAGCCAAGGAGATGCAGTTACCAGAAACACGCTTTTTCTTAAAAAACCCCACCCCCTGAAGGATGTAAGGGGGAAAACCAGCGGTAGGTGATCGCAATAACTAGTTCTCTTCAGCAAGTTAAAGGCACTTAGCAAGGGAACGGAACTCCAGCCTGACCAGGCTGCCTCACCCCGGCGCCCAAAAAGCTGGACCCTGGCCGGGGGCGATGCCAGGGGTGACGCTGGGGGCAGCTGCGGAGGGCATGGGGTCCCCCAGGAGCTTTCTTTTCTTTTTTTTTTTGTAAATCTGAGGGCAAACTTTTCCGATTCGGGGCTTTTGCTGTTTTAAATCCAGTGGCCAGGCACCTCCTCACCGGTCCCTTCTGACGGAGGCACCAGCTCCGCACCCCGCGGGGACAGTTTTGGCCTCAGAGCATTGCAAACGTGGCATTTTGCAGAGCAGAAGGATAAAACCCAGCAGGTCTGCCCACATGCAGGCAACAGCATCAAGCCAACCGAAGAGCTACAGGGGAACTACCACCCCCAATATAGACTTTCTTTTTCTGCATAGATTATTTAAAAAAAAAGCAAAATAAGAGGAGTTTACATCGTCCCTGGTCTGCAGGCGAGGGCTCTCCAGCATAACCCATCCCAGCACCTTTCTGTAAAAGCTGGGGCAGGCACAGCTCCCCGCTCGAGGACACTGCCGCAGTGTCCCGCAGGCACAGGGGACACGGCCCCCCACGGGGCTGTGGGACAGAGTCCGTCCACTGGAAACCCCGTGGAGCAACACCTGGGAAAGGAAAAACAACCCTAAATTAAACCAACCCCCCTCCCAGCCCCACCAACCGCCGCCGAGGGCTGGCGCTTCCGTAACCTGGACTTTCTGTGGAAAAAAAAAAAAAAAAGCCATGTTATAAAATACATTCTTGGTGGGGGGAGGATGAAATTTTAATGCAGCTCATGCTTTTCTGAAAATACCCTGAATAAGTCATTAGCCAGACCCTTTGCGAAGACAAAATTGCCCCCGAGGACAAAAGAATTAAAACGTAAAAAGCTGGTGTGCGCGACGCGCGTGTCTGCTGCCGAC